AAATAAAAACATGTGGATTTCACAAGCAGGTCAGAACCACTGTTCTCTTGCAGAGTTGTATGGACAGCCTATCATGTAAAGGAGAGGCAGAGAGTCACTGGGAAAGGCAGGGTGTTAGGTTTACAAACAGAATGATAAGCATGTCACTCTGTTCTTAGAACACCTGTGATATACTACTATATCTTGAAGCTAAATAGTTTGGATAAGGTCATCTAGGTAGAGCAGGGTCGAAGGCCCTTGATACAGACCTACTTTAATCCACTTGACTATAGTTCCTTACTAATGAGGACAGAGACCATTCAATTCTGTCACATTTACAATGATATGGATTAATTTTCACCAGAGTTTCTACAAGGTCTTCTTTTTTCACCTTTTTGCATTTCAGTTGCATTGTGTGTGATCAATTTCAAGTACAAGTAAATTGCAAGTGGAAATTTTCTGAGAGTAACTGAATTGTACTTGACATTTTGGGGTCCCAGAAGCTGAGTAGCTCTCAAAAAGGTCATATACAACTTCGTTGCACTGAAAAATGCCAAGGGCATTTCAGTAACAATTGAAAAATTGAAAGAGAAATTATATTCTACCCCAAATCAGCCACATGGACACTGAAGATATATCTTGTTCTATTAATTATATGAGGTGGGAATGAAAAATTATTCATTGATGTTGAAAATTTTTCTGCAATAAACATTCCTCTCTTTGCATGATTTGTGGATACAGTTTTACAACCCTTCTTTCTACACAATGTCAAGTGCTCATTTTCATTCCTTGACAGAATTCAAGAATTCTGTCACCAAAGGAGACAGTAAATACATGTTAATTCTACTATATCCTTGATGCCTAACGAACCTGATCTTTTTTAATGTAACAGGGAGAAAAAGGTGGAGAGAATATGACATCTGAAAACAGGGAGACTTCAAAAACTTTTTAAGAAAAATGAGTTATTCTTGTGGTTGTTAATGTAAGATTAGGTTTAATATACCAATGATGGGATAAAAAATCAGAAACATATTTCTTAACAAAATGGGCCAACATGGGTTCAGTTTCACATTGCCAAATCATTTCTGGTGGTAAAGAATTAAAGAATCATGGTGAATGGAAATAGAGCGTCTCTCCCATACATTATGCTTTGTGACTCCCACAAGAATGCTTAGTTCTATGTGAATATCTTAGAGCTTTATTCCTTTCTGTGTGAGCTCTGCTCTTCAAATTAGCAGTGCTTCAAACACTGAATGCTTTGAAACAGGAGAAATTTAGGAATTAAGAGAGTATTAATGAAGTCTTTTATTCTCGCCCTATTCATTTGTTCATTCTGTTAATATTCATTGTTTCTGGCACTACTGAGATTTGAACTCAGGGCTTCAAGCTTGCTAGGCAGGCACTCTACCACTTAAGTTAATAAGACTGAATTCAGTCTTTATCCTTTGTTAATAAGACTGAATTCAGCACTGAGCATGGTGCCAAAGACATACAGATGAGCAAAACCAGCCAAGGTTGGTCTCTTCCTTCCTGGATTGTATGGATTGGAAGGAGGAAATAAACATCAATGGGTAATATTGAAGAATATATATAAATGAAGGAAGCTGGTGGTGCCATTTTATAGGCATGGGAAAGAGATGGATATGGGTTCAAATCCCCTTCTTCCTCTTCCTAGTTTTATCATTTGGGTAAGACACCGAAACTTATTGTTCCCATACCTCCAAAAATGAGACAATCAATGCCAACCATCCAGGAGTGTGGTATGAATTAGGAACTATCACAAAATTTACCTAATCATAATTATGATAAGGAGTAGATTAAGTCAACTTGTCGCATTAGAGGACAGGTCTTCTTTTCCCCATTATACTCTACTGTATTATCTATTTTTCTTAACTTCTAACTATAACAGAGTCCAAGAAACACATGGACAATTTTTCTATAATGAAGTCAGTTTGTTAAAGTCATGCTTTGCTTATAAGCCAAACAAAGATGAAGTAGAATTGCCTTAAAATATAATGCACTGAATACTATATATGAAGCATTGTTGATAGGTTTTTGATAATTTTTTCTCATTTACAAGATTATAAATTTATGAAGTATATATTTTAATTTTACCCCCAATTTACTATGAGAAAATCAAATATCAGACATATGTTACTTGCTTAGTTAATATCAGCTTAACTTCAATACAGATCTTTCCTTAAAGCTAACAAGGTTTTCCTGTATCTCTCTGGCTTTCCTTTTGGCTCTACCAGTTTTTTCTTGAGTCTCTGAAACAGTAAACTGAGGTTATGCATCATGCACTCTTCTTCCATTCCGTACTGGACATCTATCTCTTTTGGCTATGTTACACTATGGATGTATTAATATTATGCAACCACTCTGTGTTCTGGCAAGAATTGGAGAAAATTAATGTGCTCCTAATTAAATAGGTGGCTTTATGGGAAATGGTGACAATTCCATTTAATAAATCGGTCTGAGCTTTGGTGTGGGAGAACAAAAGGAAAGATGTGGCAAAAGACTTTAATACTGTGAAATGCAAAGCACATCAAAAAAGAATTAGCTGATGAAGCAATCTCTTTCTGATGAAAAAACAACAAACAGAGGCAGGCAGGTATATCCCAGTGAAAGAGAAAAAGAAGAAAATTTGGAAGAGGTTTTTGGTGACTTCATTTACAATCCAGCTTTTGGTACTGAATACCAATATCTATTTTGTACATCCAACTCAAAAACAATCGAACAAAATTTCTAACATTGGTTACCATATCCATGTAAAACAAATATCCTGAGAGCAAATTAGATTGTCTAATTGAATAAAAAAGACGTCTTATAATTGTTGAAGGGTGTTAGGATTTGGATGGGTAGGTAACATAAATAACTTTTAAATTTTCTAATAGAAACTCAACATTTTAGTATTTGTTAAAGTTCCTACATATGCATCTAAATTTTGCCTTTGCTATTACTGGGTCTTGCACTGAGTAGGAAAGCACTCTACCACTTTAGCCACTCCCTTTGCCTCTTTTGCTTTAATTATTTCTCACACAGAATCTTGCACTTTTTACCCCAGGCCAAGCTTGGACTTTGATCTTCCCTTCTCCATTTCTTGCATAGCTAGGATAACAGATGTGTGCCACCATGCCTGGCTATAGGACAAATTGAACCATTACCATGTGAAGAATTTGCATAAGTAGTAGACAGAAGACTTTGTCATTGGTACTCAATAAATCTTTGTGTAATTAATAAATAAATGAGTATGGATGAAAACTATTCCAACCCACATAGTTAACCTGGGGATTGGTTGAAAGTCCAAAGTAGTCATTGTCCCAAGTTTCTTCTCCAGTCCTGTGAAATGGGGCAATCAATCATAATGGGAGGTTATTCACTATTCACTTCAGAAATGTAACAGAAGTGGTGGGACGTGGGACATAAGTATTGTGAATGGCAGGAGATACACACTGGACTGGAAATAGGTAGAACAAGTAAAGCTGTGCCTTCTGAATGATGAGGTTTTCTTTTTCTTTCTTTTTTTTTTTTTCTTTTTGGTGGTACTGGGGTTTGAAGTCAAGGCCTCATGCTTGCCAGTCAGGCGATCTACCACTTGAGCCACTCCACGAGCACTGAATGATGAGGTTTTCTAGTCTTCTTTTCATACTTTAATCTCAGTGTGCTGGCAAGTAGATGAGTAAGTGCAGAGTTATACTTGGATTCTATTCTAGAAAAATTGAGACAGATAGGAGAACAGTGTGATATAAACTGACATTTGGAGTCACTTTATGGAAAGGCTGGTTTCTTCCCGATGGCACTACAATGTAGTCCACAAATTAGCAAGGAGGGCTTCCATTCAGTATTTTGAAACTTCACTCTTCAACATGAAAGCATAGGCAAGGAAAGCCATATTTTCTGGAAATTTCAAGCACTATAGGCAGGATGAATAAATAAACAACAAACAAAACCAATGGAGACAATATGAGGGTAGAAGAAAAATTAAAATTTAGACAAATGAAATTTTGAAACAAAACCTGGAACAAATATATTGAATTACTTCAGTCCCCTGTGCAAAAAAAAATAGAGAAAAGAATGCTATAAAATAGCTCAGAGAACATGAAAACGAGAAAGACATCTTGGAAAACAAGAATCTGACTGCCAATAGAAAGAATGGAAGATAATGACCCAAAAGTAGAAAAATGCAACATATGAATTCTGCTATTGAGTACTTTCCTGGGAACTGGAATACAGGAGAAGGTGCACCACTTCAAAAATTCCTAGCATATAGCAAAATTCTCATGTTATATTCTGTCTATTTTCTCTCATTTACAAGTATTTATTAGGATTTAGCAGCTTTATTCAAAAAAGGTAGTAATAGTCTAGAAATCACTATGGTATACAACCTGAGAACTTCTAATTGAAAATGATTCCTTGGCTTCATGATCTTGATAATTATTTCAGTTCATCTTTGTTTTTGTAAAACATTTATTAATTTGTTATTTTTATCATTATCAGCAGTAGACCACTGTTAAATAAGTATGACATGCCTTTGCAAATAACATATGCAGTCATTACTCTTCCACATACAAACCTCTCAATACATTCTGCTTAGGGGATGGAATGGTTTCTTTTGATCACAATAAGTATGGAAGAGCAATTGTGCTTCTTTCAGGTGGATTTGTGATATACACTTAAATATTCTTGTGTTGCAAGCTATTGTAGCTCAGTTTCCCTCTTGTAGAATTATGGAATAACTATAAATAGAGTTTACCTATATATGCTATGATTTGTTTCATGTTCCTTAGAGTTTTTTTTTAAATTAACCCTCTTAATGAAGAATTAGAAAGCATAATCCAGTTCATGATTTTTTATTTTCATTATTCATTATTTTTCTAAGTTAAAAAAAGGGCTGATATAACTCATGTGTTACTTGAAAAGATTTCAATCTTCAGAGTTTTAGAGCATTGTCACATCACCTTACCTCCTTTCCCCCGCAAAAGGACAATGAACATCCACAAACTACAACAAAATATTACCTTGAGCTATGTAAGGTGTTGTCTCTTCTTTTGGAAGGATATTTGTGGGACGGGGAGTGGGGGCAGGAGGTCTGTTTATAATGAAAGATCGACTTCCGGTTTTTTTCTTTAAACTCATGTTGGCCAGAATCATGTCATATTCATTGTCATCAATCTCAGCAAATGTGTAGGGGTCTTCCTCCTCCTGCTGCTCCTTCCCGTCTTCTTCCTTTGCTTCTTCTCTTTTGGGTTCATCTCTTGTTTCTTGTCTTACAATAGGATCACTCCAGATTTGAATTCTTTCCATTTGGTCTTCCACCATTTTCCCTGTTTAAGAAATATTTAGATTGTGTTTTCTATTATATGTAATATTGTTAGCATCCATCTGTCACTTACATAAGCTTCCCAAAGTAGTCTAATCCAATGCCATAGGAAACAATATAATAGAACAGATCCTGTCTCCAGAAAAATTTATAAATTGCTCCAGAAACTCCAAAAAAAATGTGCTGTGTAATTTTCTTTCGTAAGTTCCTATAATTTTCAATTGTCAGTTTTGCTAAGAAAACACTTTAAGATTTGGATTTCTTTGAAAACATATTTTCCAATATACATATGTACACATATGTATTTCCTGATATATTTAATAACAGGAAATTGAGTTATAAATCTAAGTCTGAATCTCCAAATACATTGCAATGAGTGTTTGCAAACATAATACTTTTAGGCCTCTTTTTCGTTTAAAGTCATTTTAACTTTAGTATTTCTTACACTGAATATTTTGCCTAAAATTCAATTTCTCTGCAAATGACAAGCGGGAATAGCCGAAGGTACTGTTGCTTGCTGTCTTACTGTTTGTTTCTGGCTAAGACAAATTGACCTTCAAAAATGTACCTCTTGATTAAAGTAGGGTTCATGGTGTAAAAGACAGAGTGGATAATTACTGGCTTGAGAATTAATTCACATGAAAAGAATAAAATTTCAAAGTCATTTATCGTTTCATATTCACTGAAATCTCTATGTATTATTATAAGAATGTACTAAAAATATTTTAGTAGCAGTTGTTTAGAAGACAAATATATGAAACACTTTGATAATGAGTAAGTTAGAGAGAATTTAATGGCTTTCTACCAGGTCACTGGTGTTTTTCCATTTACCCTCGTATGGCTAGTGAGTATCTGACCAAAACATTTATTTTGTTACTGATGGGGATTTTAGTGAAAAAAACTTAGACACTAAGGGGGAAAACAAATAGTAGAACAGAGTAAAAGAAATTTTTCATAAGAAGTTTTAGCAATTATTTTGGGTAGGTTTATGAAGAGAGACCAAGATAATCTCCCAGCAGAAACTTAAAACTTATTCTTGCAGTTAGTTTAGTTCAAGTAGCATTACTTACCAAGTGCCTAGCACAAACTTTAAATTCACCATGACTTGCCTTTTGCCCCATAAATAATATGGCTTTGAGATTTTGACTTCATGACTTCTGTTTCCCTGACAGCCTCATAGGTGAAACCTGATTAACTGTGTGGGAAACTCTTTTACAGTGCTTCATTTTTAGCACAATGTGTCAACTATCTCACTTTTATGAACCCATTTCCTGAGCTGTTAACTCTCATTCCCCACCCACCACTCTTCCCAATGCTTTCCAAAGTTGGGGTTGTACTAGAAATCATACATTTGACTTTTTATTTCCCAAAGTATTAGATTATACTTTTCATCAAAGAGTGGGATCTGAGCTGTCTAACTTCAGGCTGTATTCTAATAAATAATATCTGAAACAAATCACTCCTATAATCCTAACTTTTGAAATAATAAGAGCAAGAGTGGGTAGAGAAGAGAATAATACTAAAAGTCCAGGAAACTTCTTCAGGGAAGTATTTGACACGTTCAAATAATTAACAGGCACAGGCTGGTGGAGTGCCTCAAGTGGTAGAGAGCCTGTGTAGCAAATTGGAGACACTGAGTTCAACCTCCAGGGCTGAAAAATATTAATAATAATAATTACAATTATAGGCTCCAAGGTCTGGGACTTAAGGAAAGCATGGGTCATAATGAGAGCTACTTTTTAGAATTGTTATGAAAATAAGAGACTAGGTGTTCCTCTTATAAAGTGGGGAGTGTTCTGTAGTATTCCATGTTACTAGTTTCTCCAATGACTAAGTACATATATTTTTCCGAGGAATCTGATGCCCAGTGAGCTGGTTAGATGCCCTATCTTTTTTCAGTAATTTGGGGGCATATGGAACTTCCTATTAAAGAACAATTCCTGATGTTATGACTAGTACAAGTGAAATAACCCATACAAAGTCTTTGACAAAAAAATGGTTATTTACAGCCTTACTTTTAAAAAGACCTTAATTAAAGAATTTTAAGGAAAAATACTGACATTTTATTTTCCATTTACTTCCAATATCAGCCCTATGAAAAAAACAAGTTGAAAAGTAATGTCAGCATAAAATGTAAATATAGGTTTTGGTAAAAATCAATGGGTCTTCATTTTATTTTGTCTTTTATATTTGGTAGTTTTCAGGAGGAGATGATAGGCTGACATTACATTTCTGGTCATAGGTACCTGGTGAACACTCAGTTGAGACTGGTTTTAGACCTTCTAATGAACATGTAAGAAATTTACATTAGGAAAAATATGATTTAATATGAGCTGGTATAAGAGATTTAACCTGACTCAAGACAATATATTGCCTTCTTAGATGTTAATTTGAGTACTTGTATAAAATTATTCAACTATACAAAAATGGGAAAAAATACAACAGAGTTCTATTGTCTACTGCCAACCTGTTTCCTCCCCCTACAAAATCTTCATATGCCCTCTTCATTGACATCTCTCAGTGGTTTACAAGAGCTTGACACACAGTATATAAGCAATGAAAGCCTAGTGGATGAGTGAAGGAGTCAGAGGAGTGTCCATCAGGTTTACTATTTCCCATTAAGCAATGGTTTATATCTCTAAATATAGTGCAGAACCTTAGTATAGCTGTTGGTTAACTTGAGCCTTCACAGAGACAGAGCATTCAAGGCCATTAATACCAAATTGCATGGCTTCAAAATTCACTAATTGAAGCAGTATTTCTGTACTGTTATGTAGCCTTCTAGTATCCTACAACTAAAACATAATGGTAAATAGGGTACTGACAATGGCTGTTTTTATCTTTTTTACCAAATTTTCTTTGTAAGAGCACCTTACAAATTTGGAAAGGTAACTATAAAATGTTTGATAAAATGAGTGGTACTTAGTAACTATATGTGAACCTGGGGATGAAGTTTTCAGGTTGTTGACCTCCAGGCAGAAAAGCCCCCCAGAGAAGTTCCTCTTCAAGTCCCTGCATGTACTCCCACCTCACAGACCCCAATCTGCATTTGAGAACAAACACCATGACAGCTGTGACAACTTTTCTACCACTGTGGCAGTGCATAGAGTATTTAGACCTCAGTCTTAATGCACTGCAGGATAAATCTTTTACCATATTTTCTTGTAGTTACTAAGTGAGTGCCAAAGATAATTTGCAAATCATCTGTAGATCACCCGTAACCTGTTAGCCCTTCCCTCCTGCCAGAAGACTGTTAAAAGCAATGTTGTCATCTACCTTTCTACAGGATATCTGAGGTGAACTGCAGACTCCTTCCAAATTTTATTTCTTTACTTCCCTAAATGTTTGTAATGAGACTTGGAAGGAAGAAAGGAAGGAAGGAAGGACAGAAAGAAGGAAGAAAGGAAGAAAGGAAGAAGGAAGGAAGAGGTTGTAGCTAATGTCTCTTGCTTCATTTCCTTAGACCTTAGTTGTGAAAGAACAGGAGGAAAGTTGCCTCTGGATTCAGAAGTTAATCTTTTTTGCATAATAGCCTCACAGCACTATAAAGTCAAAGGAAATCAAAACTGTATTTATTTACTTATTTTTTGGTGGTACTAGAATTTGAACTCAGGGCATGGGGTCATTAGGCAAGAATTCCACCACTTGAGCCACAGCTGCAGCTCTCTTTGCTTTAGGTTATTTTTCACATAGGGTCTCTGCAGCTTTTGTCCCAGCTGTCCTCAGAATTGATCCCCTTACTTACTCCTCTCACATAGTTACAATTACAGGCATGTTCCACCATACCTTTTTGGTTTTTTGAGCTGGAGTCTAGCCTTTTTGCCTGGGAAGACCTTGAACCATGATTCTCCTGATCTATGCTAACCTTGTAACTGAGATTATAAGCATGAACCAGTATTCCTGGCCTGTTTTTACAAACTTTAAACATACCTTGTAATGTGAAGTGAGGTCTTTCCAGTTGGGAAGCAGCAGATATAGGTCGTGGTGGGGGTGGTGGTGGTCTGCAGCACATGAGTGTATCTTGTGAGTTATGTTCTGGATCAATTCCAGGAATGAACACATATAAGTCATCATACTGATTCTCAGAACTTTCACTGTCAGCCTCTAGCGAGCTGTGCCTGGCTTCTGCACCTGATTCAGTCTCCTTTACTTCCACTTCCCTGTCAGAAGTCTCATCTCCATCTGCACTTGGCCCATGTGTTTTTCCGCTTGCATGGTGAGAAGGTGGGTATTGCGTGGCTGTAAATGATGAAGATAGTGTAGTTTCATTCACACACACCATCTGGAGGCAGTTCATATTTTGTAAATTTGTACAGAAGGAATAGTGCAGCTAATTAAACTTTTATGACCTGATATAGTGCAAAGTTGTCAACTTTATGTTTTATCAAACAATCATTTCTGGGTTTTAAAATATTTCCTAATGACCAGTCAAAACTCAATTATATCTTGTTATGTCAGCAAATGACACACTTATGCATATAATATTTCTGACTGTAGAGTTATTGAGCAGATTCATGTATCTGCCTGCATTATCAAATTTTATTAGAAAATAGTATAACTAACCTAATGAAATAAGTAATAAGTATGTGATAGAAAGTTAAAAATAATAAGAAATATCTTGCTTTGCTTGTCAATAATGAATACAAATGAATCTGTAACTCTTGGTCATTTTAATAAATTTATTATATATACTATATTAATTTTATTATTGACACTATGATAATTTTAATATTTACTAGAATAAACTAATAAGATTAACTTTTGAAAATACTACTTGGTTAAAAAAAGGGGTATTTTTTATGGGGAAGGCATTAAATCATTAATGTTAGATATATTTTTTTACTTTCTTTACTTATAAAATGCATACTATCCTGAAATTTAACCAAACAAGTCCATCAAACTCCCTCCACTAAAAGGAGCCATGCTACTATTTGTTTTTATATTATATACAATAGGTGTTTTTTAATCGCTCAGGAAATACAGAAATATCAGCATGCAATAACTCTAAATCTTAAAAAAAACTTTTATTAAGTTTTCTTTAAAAAAATTTCCTCTAAAAAAAGGATTTAAAAAAAAAATTAAGGCAAACTTTAGAAAAACCAAGGAGACTTTGGACACTCTATAAGACTATGGAATATGTGAACTGTTGTTATTTTCAGTGCAAACAATTGTTTTAAAACATTGCTAAAACAGTGCTAAAAGTCAAACAACAGAATGTAGAGAAAAAGGACTTTGAAAAAATAATGATCTGGAGGCATGGCTCAAGTGGTTAGAGTGCCTGCCTAGAAAGTGGAAGACCTGAGTTCAAACCCCCCAAAAAACAAACAAAAAAACTGAAGATCTTTTTGCTGGCAGAGTGGCTCAAGCAGTAAGAGTGGCTGCCTAGCAAGTGTGAGGCTCTAAGGTCAAATCCCAAAGCCACCAAAATAGTAATAATATTAATTAAGAGTTATACTCTGGAAATTTTTCAGTGTTAGGAGAAAAATTAGACATGTGAAAAAATCATGCCCATGACCCATCATGCCCATATTATTACATGGAATTTTTGTTTTTCTTTTCTTTTGTGAGAAAGAAGAAAAATACAACTTCAGGTACCAGAATTGAAGTAGGATTCTTTAATTACCAGTCTGGAGAGGGCAGACGGGGCTTGTTTTTGAAAGATCTATCTGCACAGATCTCATTCATCTTTCTACTTACAACACCAAAACACTGAGGCTGAAATAAAGTAGTCCCTAGCAATACTAATGGAGTAGATGATGAAATGACTGAATAGAAATTATTGCTCAGGTTAGTAAAAGTACTTAATTATTTTTGTCTGGGCAAATTAGTCATCAACTTAGAATTACATTCACACTATGGGAAATCACTTATAGTCGCACTTTGGTTTATGTAGTCAGTGTTTCTTGACACTAACTAGGCAACAGAGTCTCTATGGTGCTTATCAAATGTGCCCAAACCCAGAATCCAGCCATGTAAAGTTGGATTTTGTGGATAGTGGGTTTTAGCATGCTTCATAGTAACAGTGATGCCAGTGAAAATCTCTGTTGACTTGGGGGGACTCTATTCTTCACCTCCTCTCTCCCCTGAGAGTCTGAGGGCTGATCCCATTGCACAGATTCACACATGGCAGAGTTCTCAGTTCCAAACTGTAGAACTGAAAGATGTTCTCTTATTACAGGGAGCTCTACTGAGGAGGATTAACTATTACGATAAACATATTGTCAGGATCAATGATAGCCTTTATTATCACCTTTATTATCATTAAAATGATAAATAACTTTAAAAGCTGGTGTATTAATTCTTGAATGTAATATTTGGCATTTGCATGTACGTGTTCTGCAATAGTGTTTGAAGGAATCTACTGATTTTGCCAAGTATACTAGTGAAGCACTACATTGAATTGGTGCATTGGTCTGTTATTTGAAAATCATATGGCCAATAATGGTTTGTTTAGTGTTTTGTTTTTTAGAGACAGGGTCTTACTATGTAACCCAGGCTAGCCTTGAATTTGGGATCCTATTACCTCCAGTCTCTTGAGAGCTGGGATAAAGATGTGTATCATCATGCTTGGCATGAGGACATATGCAAGAAGGGCATGCAGACGAAGGGAGAGGCAGAAGTGTGCTTGGTGTGGGAGATGGCACTGTGGCCATGAAGAAACAAGAATATAGTCAGAGATAGGACAAAAAAGATTATCTTGGGCCTTGTAAATGATGAGAAGGATTACGAATAAAGTGGGATGGTACTAGAGTATCTGGAGCAGAAGAGTGATTAGTTCCTTTATGAAGCATAGAACATGAGTGGTGACAAATGTGGAAGTTGTTACCCCAGTTTTAATAGCAGCATACCATTAACATTTTGGGCTGAATAATCCTCTGTTATGAGGGATTGTCTGCTACATTGTAGGCTATTTAATGGCATTCCTAGTGTCTTAATCCACCAAATGTTGGTAGTAATCCTCCTCCCTAAGTCACAGCAATAACAAAATCTCTGTTCATTGCCAAATTGGCACTGTAGGGGGTGGTATATACACCTCCATTGGTAATCCCTGTACTATTGAAATAATATAAGTGAGAAATGACAACAGTGTGTCCTAGGATAAATAGGAATGGAAAAAGTGAGAAATGGTTGAATGCTGGCATATAGTGCAGGTAGAATCAATAGTATTATATGATAGACCTGATATAGAGTAAGAGAGAAAGTAGAAAAACAAGCTAAGGATCAGTTTAAGAAATTTTTAATGACTTTAGTAAAGGAAAGAAAGAGTTGTCACTTGCTGAGATTGGGAAAATGGCAAGTGGAAAAGTTGGGCATGGCAGGAGTCAGGGTTTTCAGAAATGTTGGTAATGAGATGCCTATCAGAAATGCTGATGAAGACATTGCACAGGCCAGTGTATTCTAATTAAACCTGGCCTAAACATGTTAACACAGAAGTAGCTTCAGACACCAGAACACAAAATGACAAGTGTTATAGCAAGGAGTAATACTTAGAGTGTCCTAGTCCAAATTTCTCATTCATAGCTGAAAAAACTAAAGTTTGCAAATGTCTTTATTGTAAATAGATTTACATTCCTTTGGATATATTCCTAGGAGTTGTATTGCTAGATCATCCGACAGTTCTATTTTTAGTTTTTTGAGGAGCCTCTATACTGTTTTCCACAGTGGTTGCACTAATTTATGTTCCCACCCGCAGTGTATAAGGGTTACTTTTCCCCCACATCCTTGCCAAATTTGTTGTTGTTTGTGTTCTTGATGATAGCCATTCTAACAGGAGTGAAGTGGAATCTTGACATAGTTTTGATTTGCATTTCCTTTATGATCAGGGATGTTGAACATTCTTTACACAAATATTTATTGCAGCACTGTTCATAGTAGCCACGCTATGTAAACAACCCAGATGCCCTACAACTGATGAATGGATTAAGAAAATGTCATATTATATATATATATATATATATATATATGGAGTTTTAGTCAGTCATAAGGAAGAATGAAACCATGTGTTTGAAGGTAAATGGATTAATTGGAGAACACCATGTTAAGTGAAGGAAGCCAGACTTAGAAAGACAAAGGCTGCAAGCAATATTATGAAAAACAGGTTACGCTAAGGGGAGGTCACTAACAGGAAGGGGGTGGTAAAAGAACGAAGTTAAGAAGGTGAATATGGGTTATGTACTTTCTATACAAGGATGAATATAGAATTTTTAAACCTGTTGAAATCACCATAAGAAGGGACTAAGGTAGAAAGGAGAAAAATAGAGGGCATGAAACAGTTCAGATTATTATATATATATATATATATATATGCCAAATTGGCACTGTGGGGGGTGGTACATAGGCCTCCATTGGTAATCACTGTACTATTGAAGCAACATAGGCGAGAGCTGACAACAGTGTGTCCTAGGATAAACAGGAATGGAAATGGTTGAATGCTGGAATATGGTGCAGGTAGAATCAATAATATTATATGATAGATCAAATATATGGAAATATCACAAGGAAACCCCCTATATAGCTATCTTAAACAAACAAAAATGCTTTTTTTCAAAAATGGAGAACAGGAAGGTAAAACAGGTTCTATTTGGGGGTTGATACCAGTGAGAGGTGGGAGGATATAAGGAAAGGGTGAAGGAAGCTGAATGTAGCGCAAATATTATGTACTCATATATGAAAATGGAAAAGAGACATGTTGAAACTATTCCAGGAAAGGGAGAGGGTGGAAATAAAGGAGATTGATGGCAGAGATAAATTTGACTATGATACATTGTAATAACTTTTGTAAATATTACAATGTACCCCCAGTGCAACAATAATGTGATAATAAAAATATTATTCTACCTTCAAAATAAACAACTAAAGTTCACCAAGAATTTAGCAAAACAAACTAGAAAAAATATTTGTCAAATAGGAAAAAATAAGTGATCTGCATACTTTTTCCAGGGTAGGAAATCTGGTATTTGATGATAAAACCTTGAACAACTGAAAGTATTTAAAATAGCAAATGAAGGAGTATTTGTACCATATTATAAAATAAAAGTCATTCAGTTAATTAAAACCTCTCCACGTTTTCTTTACAATTATATATATTTCTGGTCATATTACATACCATAATATGAGAGTTACATATAAATGAAACAAATAGGAAAACTTACAAGAAGAATAAGTAGAAACTGAGATAGTATCGTCTTCGTAGTCATTTTCTTGCTCATTATTTCTGACAATGTCTTGAATCTGAAAAAAAATGTAATTTTAAATAATGTGCATTAATCTTACTAAATCTTCATTTGATACCTGTAGAAATAAGAGACAGTTTTTAGGTTGTTATTAAATGCTTTAACTCTATTGTATTACAGATCTTGGTTATATTTATGCCATCTATAAATACTCATTGATGCATAATATTAAAATTCAAGTGACAAAATAGAACATTTATAATAAATATTAAGTTGATTTAGAAATGAAACTTATTTAAATGATTTTAAGATTTGAAAAAAATAATAATCATGAAATTTAAGTGAAGTGAAAAACTTCTGAATAAAACTGAGTACAACTGTTTCTCTTCAAATTGATCTTTTGTAACCTTTAACATTTAATTAGTAATTTTTACTAATTTAAAATATTTTCTTCATTGTGTCAAGTATTATAATTTGGTGGAGACAATGAATTATAAAGGTGTAGATATTCAAATGATTCATGTTTTTGTTCCTAATAAAATTTATAGACATGATTAGGCCATCTTTCCTCATTAGAAGCATCTACATTGATACATGTTTAAATTTCTGGTAGCCTTGATATATAAAAGTATTTTACCTGTGCACTAACTTTATCAATTTGGTTTATCATCCACTTTGGCCAGTGGGAATGTGATGGCATTTATTTAATTTTAGAAAAATTAGTGTTATTTAGATTAGCAACAGTCTCTAATTTCCAATGAAATATTATGAATAAAATCCTCTTTGGTATTTTTTAGTGAGCCTGATGCAATAACTCATTTTATACTTTAATCTTTTCTCTTTGGTAGACTTTACCAAATGATAGCATGAACAATCAAGTACATTAAAACTGGCATTTTGTGTGATATTTATATGCTGTTTAATATAGCTATTTGTTTTCAATTAGCACAACATGTGTATTTGATAAGGTAGGTCAGGAAGATATTTTAAGAATCCATAGTACTCTCCAAATCACAAAAAGGAATTTTGCTAGCTGAATATCAGAAATGGTCTTAGTAGATTGTACAGATTATGAAAAAATTCCTGTATATTATTCTCTACTGTTGGCATCGTGAGCTTAAAATCACTATAATAAGAGACATTAGGCAAGTGTCTAGATGTATGTGTGTGTACTTAAGTTGAAGCTTAATGGAATCTTTTTTTTGTTGTTGTTGTTGTTATAACTTAAGCCATGTGATATTTGTATAACCACAAACACTTCAAAATCAAGAATGCCTCAGTAGTAGGTATACTCAAATGAAAATTGGTCAGAAGAAACAACGGTCACTTCATATTAATAAAGGGAACATATAATCAAGAAGAAATAATAATTTTAACACATATGTTTCAAATGTCAGTGCTATAAACCTAATAGATTCAACATATCTCTCCAGAGTATTTCATCTAGCATCTGTAGAATATCCATTCTTCTTAGCAACTCATGGTATTTTCTTCAAAATAGAAAGTATCTTAAAACACAAAGTAAATCTTAGCAAATATAAGAAAACTGAAATAATTCATTGTATCCTATCAGACCATAAAGGAAAAAAATTAGAACTCAACAGCTAAAGAAATTACAGAAAATATTCAAACACATGAAGACTGAAGAGCACATTGTTGAATGACCAGCAGACTATTAAAGAAGTAACAGAGGAAATCCAAAAGATCCTAGAATCTAATGAGACTGAAAACTCAACTTACCAGAATCTTTGGGATGCAGCAAAGGCAGTGCTAAGGGGAAAATTTATAGCTATGAGCACCTACATCAGAGAGATCTCAAATAGCCTAACTATGTACCTCAACATCCTAGAAAAACAAGAACAAGCCAAGCCCCAAATTAGCAGAAGGAAAGGAATAATAAAAATTTGGGCAGAAATTAATGAAATAGAGACCAAAAAATCTATACAAAAAATCAATGAAACAAAAATTTGGTTCTTTGAAAAGAAAAATGTATTGTCTTCCAAATTAAAAAAAATAGTGTTGTTTGACTTGAATATTTCTATAATTATTATGTACAATTAATATTTTGCATAATTCATGCAATGCAGAGAAGTAATTGTTTTCTCATGAATGAAAGTACCTTTGGAAATATTTACATTATAAAAACAAATGTTTTTCCCTTGAGTTTATTCCACTTATAATCATATTTGAGAAATATGTTGGATCTATTAATACATTAGTAACTCCTCAATAAAACTAATGGTGCCTCCAGAGACATGTCTCATAGCATTCTGACATCTGATCACTTTACTACGTGGCTATGTGTTGTAATAGACAGAGTATGGACATTGGAGTCAATTTAAGGACATATCCTGCCTTTTGTGGTCGGTCAGAATACTTAAATCTAAACCTCAGTTATCTATCCTGTAAAGTGTGGATAGTAATACTTATGCCATCAGTGTGCTGGGAGGGTAAAATTAGAGTAATGTAGGCAAAATCTCATTTACCACATAGTAAGCATCTAATAAGTACATATTATATTTTCCTTCTTCATATAAAATATAGATCTACTTTTAAGCAAGCATGGTTTCTTTTAGTCAGGCTATCACCTGACTTTATACATACATTTGTCAGGCATTTAAGCAGGTTTACTATATGATAAAGTCTCTAGTAGCATAGGAAGCAAGTTAAAATTTAAGAAAAAGAAATAATTCCCACTGCCCAAAATACCACATTTCTTCTGAAAGAAAAATAACAATAATAAAATTATTAAAATACAGTATTTTATTATCCCACTAATAAGCTGTCCTTATAGATGAACTAGAGAATTAAAAATTGATCAAATAATCTGGACAAAACCTTAATTCATTTGCTTTTGGGGTGGAAAGATTGATTTTAAAAAGTATCTGGATACTTGCATTGATTTCCACTTCTTCAGGTGAAAGATAAAGATAAAATTAGTACATCTCTTAGTTAAACATGCTTAATGCAGTAGTTTAGCTCACAGATAGCCTTTAGTAGCACATATTTAGTGAAATTAAACATTTGTTTATTATCAAAGATAAACTAAAAAGAGAACTTGTTGACTGGGGTATATATGTAACGCTCCACATGGCTGTGGCATCTGGTCCTGTACAAACTGATCCCAATATTCTGATCTCTAGGGAGTGAATAAGAACAATCTTCACATAGCAGTTGTTTTCCTGATTATTTTATAAGATTCTGAAGATAAGTGTAATTGGCCCAACTCTTGCCCAAGTTTCTATGATTTTGATTATAAGTGATTTTATCAGCTTTTAAAATGCATAGCAATCTGTGGAATGAGAATAGGAAGACAAATACATGTTGAAAGAGTAAAAAATTAATCCTGTGATATTTTATGCAGTATTCCAGTATTCCAGATGAATGTACTAGGATGTAGAATCTGAGCTATGAAAAAATAGATATTATTCTTACAAATTATTAAGATAACAACCAATGTTATACTAAAGCCATGAATAGCAAATAATCTCAAAAATAAACAATTTAAGGGCACATTGTAGGGGTATAAAATATTAGGTGTAGTTACATCTTTTAATGTTTTTCCTTAAACCATCTAGGAATACACTCCCAAAGCAGATTCATATAATTTCCCAGTAATGTTTCTTTTTACATTGCAGGAACTAAAATGTTGAGTGTAAAAACTAAGTAGGAACCCTATCTAACATTGGAGGAGGAATGACTAAAAATATAGTAGACGTGGAGCTGCTAAACATGGGAAAAAGTAAAAGGATAATAATTTTATTAGAACAACCTGAATAGGCCTGCTCTATTATTTCAGATAGAATCTTATGGAAAATTAAAGTGGTCCTGGTACTGATAACTCTTTGTCTTAATCTCTGCCCATGATGAAGCCTAACTACCATTGTTAACGTAAGGTTTTGCCCTTTAAAATACATTCTAACCCTATTTTAATAATGTTTGTTTTTAATCTACTGCAGTTGTGGCTCTGTCTGTGAAGTATCAACACTGTTACTAGGCCTTATGCTTGGTTTGACTTTGGCTATCTCTGTCACTAACATGGAAATGTTAAAAATTTAAATCCATTTCTTTTTGAGGGTTGTGATTATTAATGTAAAAAAAAGCTGCCTTCTCTTAAAATTATGGAATCCCAAGGAAACTTTAGGTAACAATTACTTTATTCTGTTTTTCAAACACTGGTATTAAAACATGTCAGGCTAAAAATGTAATAATTTGGACATTTTTCCAAGCAATGTAACTTCTTTTTAAAAAATGTAACCTTTGTCTATAATGCCTAATCATCTTTGTAGATTGGTTTTTCCTGGGTTCCGTCATTGTCTCTCTTTTCTTACAAAATGTTTTCTTCCTGGGTGATTTTAGACACTCCATGGCTGTTAACTGATATTGCTCTGCTAATGGTTCCTGATTGTCTTTATCTCCAAACTTTCCTGAGGTCTAAGTTTCTAGGATTCATAAATGAACACTAGAAGAAATGGTCATAGCAAAGGGAAAAACCCAGGAAGAGAGATACATAGAAAATTAGGAGAAAGAGTTTCAAGTGGCTCACAATGTTAAATTCTCCACCAAGGTTACAAAGGAAAGTCCTGAAAATAGTTCATTAGATTTTCCAATCAAAGTTGCTGGTGACCTTGATGAGAATTACCTGAAATTCTATGAATTCATACTGGACTAAAGAATCTTTAAAAAGATAAACGTGTGTGTGTGTGTGTGTGTGTGTGTGTGTGTCTAGAATCCGAAGCAACATTTATAGAGCTTATTTTCAGGTACCATAATGTGAAGAAACAATATAAAGCAACTGTGCTCAAGACTTGGTTTTCAGAAAATGAGTTAATATCAGAGAAAGAGTAATTCATTACAGATGAGGACTACAGAAACAGAGGTGATAAGATACAAAACTCTGTAGGAAGCAAGGTAGGCTACACAAGTATGTGAGTGTAACTATCTCCAACCTCAAATGTTTTACAATAAGTGAAGGAGATGAGTAATGAAGATGAGGTAAAATGAAATGTTCTTTTAAAATATGAATATACTAGCAGAATGTTGTAAGATAGAAAGAAA